ATGAGGATGCTGCAGTTGGGGGATGGGAAGAGAAAAGCGGGGGGGGGGGAGTGCGTGAGAGAGAGGGGGTCGGGAGCAGCGAGGCAGGGGGGCGGCTGGGGGGGTGGGGGGGGGGGGGAATATCCGCAGAACCAGCACAGAAATTGTGTGTGTCTCTGTCTGTCCCTGCTGCCCCCTGCTGGCGGGGACAAGCCCTGCTCTGTGTGCGTCTGTCCATCCTCCCGCCCCCCGCCCCACTCTCTGTGTGTCTCTGTGTCCCTGCTGCCTGGCATCAGACACCCCTCCATGTGTCCTATCCCCCGTAGCACGCCCCGGCCCAGGGGGATTCCCCGGCGGCCCCTCACCACAGCAGCAGGAAGAGCGGCACGGCGAAGGCCAGCGAGCCCACGAACTGCAGGAACTCCCTGGCCACATGGGGCAGGGTGTCGATGGCCTCCCAGAGGGTGCTCCACATGGTCGGTTCACCCCGGAACGGGCCACAGGCGTGGGAGGGCTGGAGGCTGCAGGGGGAAGAGAGAGTGAGTCGCGGGGTGGGGGGAACAGAGTCCAAGGCAGGGGAGCAGAGACAGCGCCGCGGGGGGAGGATCAGGGGGTTTGTCATGCTGGGGGGGGAGGGGAAGGTCAGGGGACCCTGGGGGGCTGGGTGAGGTGGGGCAGCAGATCCCAAGGAGCTGGGGTGTGGGCGAGGGGGACTGGGGACCCCGAGGAGCTGGGGAGCTGGGCGAGGGGGGTGGGGGACCCCAGGGGAGCAGTGTGAGGGGGATGGGGCATCCTGGGGGCTGGGCGAGGGGGACTGGGGACCCCGAGGAGCTGGGGAGCTGGGCGAGGGGGGTGGGGGACCCCAGGGGAGCTGAGTGAGGGGGCTGGGCGAGGGGTGGTGGACCCCAGGGGACCCCGGGAGCTGGGGGGGCTGGACAAGGGGCGTGGGGGGGTCACTCACACAAAGACGCTGTACAGCAGGGGCACCCAGGCGATGGCCAGGCCCAGCAGCAGAACCAGCAGGAAGAAGAAGCTAGCGCTGGAGGCGTGGAAGGTGCGGTCGGCCGGGCGGCAGTTCGAGAACAGGGTGAGCTGGAGGGTGACGAGACACGTGTGGACCCGGGGCGCTGAGCCACCAGACAGCCCCCCCGGGAGAGAACCCAGGCGCCCGAGCTCCCAGTCCCCCCACCACCACCACTAGGCCCCCCTCCCCTGAGGCGGGGAGAGGACCCACGCGTCTGGGCTCTCACCTTCTTGAGGTAGAAAAGCAGGACGAACTTGGCGGTGTTGAGCAGGGGCAGCAGGGGGGAGAAGGCGGCGCCGACCCAGCACACGGTCTGGCCGTACACCAGGTCCAGCACGTTGGGGGGCACCAGGAACTCCTGCTGCCCCCACAGCCGGGCCAGGGGGGCGGGGCCGTGGGTCACCAGCAGCCTGGGGGGAGCAAGAGGGGGTGAGGGGCTGGGGAGACTGCTCCGAGCCCAGCCCCCCCACCTAGGGCTGCCCCCACTCCGAGCCCTATCCCCCAGCTCCCCACTCCCCTCCGGCCTGAGCCCCAAAGCCCAGAGCCAACCCACTCCCTCTAGGGCCCCCCTTTGTGGCCACTGATTCCCATGCACCTCTAGAACAGCCCCCACCCCCAACCCACCTCCCCCCCAGCCCACTGACCCCCTCACCCCATCCC